CCTCCCTCGCCGACCCTGACTCCGCCCTTTCCTCATGGAATCCTCGTGACCCAACCCCATGCAACTGGCGTGGCGTTTCCTGTGACTCAGCCACTGGCTCCGTCACTTCCCTCAACCTCTCCAGCACCAACCTCGCCGGCCCTTTCCCTTCCCTCCTTTGCCGTCTCCAAAACCTTACCTACGTTTCCTTGTACTACAACAACATCAATTCCACCATCCCTTCCGACATCTCCACGTGTCAAAATCTCACTCACCTTGATCTCGCCCAGAACCTCCTCACTGGTGAACTCCCCCACACTTTAGCTGACCTCCCTAACCTTAAATACCTGGATTTAACTGGTAACAATCTATCGGGAGATATTCCGGAGTCTTTCGGTCGGTTCCAAAGGCTTGAAGTTTTGTCACTCGTTTACAACCTCCTAGACGGTACAATCCCCGCCTTTTTGGGAAACATTAGTACCCTAAAAATGCTCAATTTGTCGTACAACCCTTTTAGTCCGGGTCGGATCCCACCGGCGCTTGGCAACTTAACTAACTTGGAGATTTTGTGGCTCACCGAGTGTAATTTAGTTGGCGAGATTCCTGACTCGCTGGGTCGACTCAAGAAACTCACCGATTTAGACCTGGCTATTAACCACTTAGTGGGCAAGATCCCGAGTTCTCTCACTGAGTTAACCAGCGTAGTTCAGATTGAACTCTACAACAACTCGTTGACCGGCGAACTACCTCGCAGGTTCTCGAATTTGACCAAGCTGAGACTCCTCGACGCGTCGATGAACCAGTTAACGGGAACGATTCCGGACGAGTTGACTCAGCTACCACTTGAAAGTCTCAATCTTTACCAGAACAACCTCGAAGGAGCATTACCACCGAGTATCGCCGACTCACCAGCTCTGTACGAACTGAGAATCTCTCGGAACCGACTCACGGGAGAGTTACCCCAAAACCTCGGCAAAAACTCGCCGCTTAGATGGCTCGATGTCTCTAACAACCTGTTCACCGGTCTCATACCGCCGAGTTTGTTAGGATTCTCTTGACTTGAATTATATAGTAGGATTTATAGTAGGATTAGGATTGATTAATTTTAATTAAATTAGTATATTTTATTAAAATAGTTTTTAAATTTAGTTAAATTAAAATAATATATTTTAACTATATTAAAATAAAATTATTACATTTGGTTTTTTTAAAAAAAAATTATGGTGTTAAAAAATTATTATTATTTAAATTTTAAAATTTGAATTTGAGTGTACATTATATAAGAGTTATAAGTTTAAAACTATTTTTATAATTTTATAATTATTTTTTAAAAAATAATTTTGTGATTTTTACAATAAATTAAAATCAAAGCTTGTTTAAATAAGATTAAAGATTATATATGTTATGTATTTCATAAATAAAAACTTATTTTGAACTTATAAATAAAAACTTTTCTCAACATAATAGATATATTTTTTAGATTAAAAATGTAAATTTGTGACAAGTGATATAAAAGTTTATTCAATTTTTTAAGAATATGAAATCCTCATAAAAAATATTAAGGTCGAGATAGTCTCAAACTAAAATATGTCTTTCTTCTTTATAGATTAAAAGAGTTAATGTAATAAGTTTTTATTATATAATTAAGTGAGATAGAATATTATGTATTTTATATTAGTAGGAGATAAGTCTTTTTTCACTTAATTGACATTTTTTGGGTTAAAAATGTGGATTGTAACATTATATGTAATGTACATACCTAAAAATAATATATAACAATTTTACATCATTTCCTACACCCTTATTTGTACCAAAAAAAAATTTTAAAAAAAGTTATCGAGTCCATTGCAACAGTGCACCCACAAAGCCCAACTTTGACAGGCTTTGTCCAGTTAGCCCTTCTCCAATTAGGACCAAAAAGTTAAGATCGAGCCCAATGTCATTCGGACCAGATAGAATGCTTGTCTTGAATTTGAGACAGTGAAAACTTGCACACCTGGCTAAGATCATCGGTAATGACGCAAGCCGATGAACGCTATACCATTTGATTAATCAGCATGTAAACTGGCCCATATCTATAGGCTATTAGGTCAAGTTTAGATGATGTTGCTCAAGCTTAACTATAAAATTCTTAATTTTTTCCCTGTCTGATTCTGCCTATCCAACTCCTATAGCCAGAATGCCTTTCAACAAGTAAATTAAAGAAGCTGCAAAAAGATTCCTAAAACTTTTATATTCTCAAATTGTGATAAGAAATACTGTATATTCAAACGACTTTATAGGGTAGTTTTAAACTACATTAAAATATTTAGGAAAGAGACGAAATAAAGATCAATTGAAAGCGAAATGTTTTAGATTAGTTAGACAGAGATTAATTTTTATTTATCCAAACCTTGATTATTACAACTTGTTTAGTTAAAAAAATGTTGTCGAATTACTAGATGTTTTAATCTTGGGTGTTGCACAATTAATCAATTCTTCTATTTTGTAGGTTTGAATGCTGTCGTAAATAGCAATTTTCTGGAATTTCGCTGCGTTCACACCATTAATTATTGTAGCCCAGACTCCATACTCCACATTGCCATGCAACTAATCGTGCCATAAATGACAGGATTGGCAAATAAAAGAGTTAGATCGAAACACATCAAGCCATGCATCTTGTGTGCATTGGGTACCTTTCCATCAAATTTTTTATGTTAATTATACAATTATAATCTATGGTTTTCCTTCAATTATTACGCATATAAGCCCTATACATTTATTAAATTGCATGAACATGAAATAAGAAGAAAAGGGTTTGATCAACCACCTCAACCATATCACCGGACGTTACTTGCCTAGAATGAGAACATGTCAATAATCAAGTTTAATGTTTCAATTAATCAATTAATTTGTGGCACGAAAACTAGTATCAATCCATCTAGCTAGTCAAGCTCATATTAGGTTAATTTGATTGTTCAATACTTTAACAATATTTATATGGTTATGAGCTCAGGCCCCAGATGGCCCTTCCCTTGAGGGATGATGCGAGCAGGATGCCAACTTGTTCACACCACAAAAGTGTCATAACACGTAAAAAATTTGGTAATGAAAGGGAAAATTGGGGCTTCAATGTGAAGGGATCATACCAACTTCTCATCAGCAAAAGCAATTAATTAGCTGGTGAACTTGGCGAATGAAATTTTTTTTTCTTTTGTTCTTAAAGAAATGTTGAGCCAAAAGCTTAGTCACCACCATTTTGTTTTGCATTACATATATTTGTTTACAAATTGTTATAGATATATCCATTTTCTCAGAGTTCTTTTTAGCAGGAGAATCTTGGAGAGATTAGAATGCAGAATCTGGTCCAAAATGGTTAGGTAGCTGTCTACAAGATAGAGCTTGGAAATTGCCTATAATCTATTTTAATGGGGGCAATTCAGGATTAATGTATAAACCTATATCATAACGGCCATGATATCAAAGAAAAGCTTTTCTCATTTGGTGCGGGCGATCAGGCAATCATTCTAAGGTTGATCAATATTTACCATTAAATTAGCCAAATTTCCACCCACCTCTTTCAATCTTTGCTTATGATCATGTGAGAGGGTGATGCCATGCAGGCTACTTCCACATCCCAATGGCAAATTCCTTGATGTTTAACTTGGGTCAGAAGTATTAATAAGTGTATATTTGCCAATCTACTATTCACATTTTGTTTTTGTGTATATATTGCGTTGACAAAAGTATTAGCTTGAAATTAAAGAACGGGAAACATTAATCATCATGATTTCCAACCTTGGTTTTTACTTCTAATTATATTTTCAGGATGCACCAATAATAACACTATCAAAATGGACCCTAAAATTAATTAAAACTTTAGGATTATGTGAGAAGTTGTCAATATCTAAGCACTGTTGTTTTGCTCTAATGTTTGATTATTGCTTTGGTACCAAAAATTAAAGAAAAAAAAAACACAAGACAAATTAGTGTTAATTAACTCATATATTCTGTCTAATTGTAACCCCTTAAATCTTTTTCTTGCTCAACCATGTTCTACAGCACCACAAGATTTTCCTTCTCAGTTACTCCAATCATGAGAGAGAGAGAGGAGAAAGCTTAAAAGGTTGTAGGTTTGGTGATGATGGACTTTCTCAATTGGCAAAAAGAATGAGCCACTCTTTTGCAAACAACTCATGAGGGGTAGCCCAGTTGCACAAACAAGTATGCTGATAAAGTCTGACCCTTCACAATTATGTGAAGGCATTTCTTTTTACATTGCACACCCCCTCCCTAATAATTGAAAGCTAGAACCTTTTCTTCAATGGGTTCCCCTCCCCCTCCAGCTTCTGCTACCCAATTGATTAGCTATCTGAACCTTTCCCCTCAAATTCAGGTGATTCTGCTTGGGAAAGTCTCAATGATGACCCAGCCATGACCTCACTTTTACAACAAAGGCTAAAAATACTCCTTATCAACCACAGAATTGCCTTTCTTTGATACTATGTTTCACTCCTTTACCTTTTTTTTTTTTTAATTTATCATAAAGATTTCAGAAATTGGTCACATGCAAATATATACAGATAAAAAATATTTCCTCCTATAAGGAAATTTTTCAATGATTGTTTTTCTGGTCTTGCACTATGCACACACCAGTTCCATCAATTGTCTTACATATTTTATTTTGTGTGCAATCTTAAACCAATTATTCCTACTTAATTCCTTCCTAGCTAGGTTAGGAATTTAGCCTATTTCCAACAGTGTGGTTCAATTCTTGCAACAACCTCAACCTGTTCCTAACCTATCATACGCAGGCAACACTCACATGAAAAACAATACATAGAAACAAAAAGAGGGGAAAAAAACTGTATATACATACATATTGATAATGTTCAGGAATGCACGACATGAAATTTCAAAGTTCCACTTGTCTTTATATCCTTTTGTTGATGCGGCATCCCTTCTTTTCCATCATGCTTTCTACTATAAAACGCCAAAACCTCGAGTTCGAGTGACCCAAATCTAGAACATGGCTTGTTTGTTAGCAGTATGGTTCTGTCACAGGACATGGTTTGCCAGTTGTGTGTAGGAGAAAAGAGGCATTCACAAGCAACAAAATTCAGAGGAAAACAAAAAAATATATTTGCTATTGCGTCAGTCCATCCACAAAGCAAAGCTGTAGGCTCTTTTTTGACTCTTTTACTCATCATAAATTCTATCTTTTCCCATCAAAAGGAAGAAAAAAAGAAGAACAAGAACAGGGATGGGGGCTCTTTTCCATTGTTTTTATTAACTAGAAGGTCCTACCAGAACCCTAAATTAAGGAAAAATCGAATCAAACTCTTTCTGCGATTCAACTAAATTTCGGATTAACATCTGTTATTTAACTTGAATTGGGAAACATACTCTTGGGTGATTAGTCGAGCACTTTTGTTAAATAATAAGCAAAACTACAGTGGTGATATGCATGTTCTTTCTGTTCATTTTCTTGGAGTTTTCTTACAAATTCAATGGCATTAGTTAAACAATGGGGTCCTCAGCCTCGAGTTCAACAGTGGAAATTTCTTCCATTTTTTCTAAAATCACGTGATAAACATGTGAGCTGCATTAGCTTTTTTGAATGAAGCCTATAATTCATTACATTAGCCTTATATGTACTTTAAAATATATAGTTCCTCGAGATTAAGTCTCATCATTATACCATTCTTGAGATTGTATTGAAATGATGAACATCCCATTTAGAGACTTGATCTATTAATGATTGTTGATTAGAAACCATGATCCTCTTCTAATTTATTCTTCTCTTGAATGACAGATTTTTGAACAAATTGATGTTAATCTTGCTTCAGAAATAAGCAATCCAAGCTGTAGTTTAGAAGTCTGCTCTTAGTCAACCTCTATATTTGATCACCAATTCCTTCAATTTTACAAAAGAAATCATGCGTTTAGACGACTTTTTAACTTTATCTTATGATGCATGCAAGAGATTCATCATTAGCATTAGAGAAACTGGTCATTTAATTACTGTTGGTTTCAAATTAAACGTGTTAGTGATGAATAAGAGTTTTAAGCAGTGGGAAAAAGGTGATGTAACCTTTTCTCATTGAAATTAAAAGTGGGTAGGCAGCAGTCTGCAGAAAAGTACTAGTGCTTATACTGTTTAATGCTTATTGCAATACAATACAACATGTTCTTTCAAATCTTCTCTCTCCCCTTCTGATCTGTAGGAATAGAAATAGAGCTTGCTTTTGAATAAACAGAATCAAGAAAAATCTTGTACACTTGGTCCTCACTGATTAAA